AAAAAATGGCTCCAAGACTGAACTCATCTGAATGTTTTGTGCTGGGTAATGTTTTCTATTTTTTGCGACTTCATCCTCTCAAGCTCTTCTATTTTGACTGTGAACTTCTATAAATTTTGGTGATCGGGTGCGTAGAACGTGTATGGTGGCATGCATGGGGGTTCAGTGGCAGCTGTGGCCCATCGCGTAGCAACTGCTTGTGCCAGAACAGTTGTTGGCAAAGACAAAGACATCTTCCTTTCCGAACTCAGCATCTCTTACCTATCTGCCGCTCCAGAAAATGTAAATTCTTTATGCAATTTTTAACCAGTCAGCTTTTTGCATTTTTTATGACCTTGATTAATCAAGTCGAGGTCTCTTGAAAATTGTGCTGTGCTTTTGGTGTGCCTTGTTATTTGACATATGCTGAGTGACTTACATTGCTCCCTCTTGTAGCTTGATTGCATTTTTATTTCGCTGAAGAAAGTTTTTATCGTTTTATTCATGCAAAATTTTCCCATGTTGCACGATGCCAGTTTTCCGTGGCCATGAGAACTCAGTTTGCATTATTTCGAGATGCACACTAAATTATAAAATGCATTGCTCGTCGACAAGCAATTTTCATAGCGATAATTAAGAAGGTTACTCGGGGGGATTTAGCTTAGTAACAATAGAAAGATTTTTAAAATGACAAGACTCCAGTTGTGTATTAGAATTACCAATACCCCTGTGCAGTGTTATGAATCCTTAGCCTTTGTTTCAAATGAGAGTGTGTAAGTATTTTTTTTCTTCTAAATTACTTTTACATGGTCATGTTACTAATATACTATGGCCTTTTTGGCAGCCTATATATGTTACACATTCTTGTTATACATATTGTGATGGGAATTTGGATCGCAGGTCCAAGCAGTCGTGGATGGGACTGTCATAAAAAGCGGGAGGAACCTGACAGTTGTTGCTGTTAACTTCCGACTTAAAGATTCCGGCCAGTTGTTGTTCACGACTCATGCTACATTCTACAATATGCCTGTTTCGAGTTTGTGAACTCCATAAATTGGCCATTGATGGTTGGGTAGAGAATATAAAAATGGAAATAATATCTCATGAGTTTAATTTTGGAACTTCTCTATATTATTCTTTCTTAAATATGACCTAATATTTCAAGGGTGGATTGTGTAATCAAACATATCTGTAAGCGTTCAATTACCTGTAAACATGACTGAAGTCACGTAACTAAAATTTTGTTTCCAAATCTTAGTAACTAGAACCAGTTTCCTTTTTTCCTATAAAAAATATAGTAGTTTAGCTGTGAATTGTCAGCTATTGTTTGGCCAAAAAATTCTTTATAAAGTTTTGTTTATTTATTTATTTTATTTTTTTCTAGGTCTGACATGTTAGTAGAGTATAGTATAGTATCTATTGAAAAAATATAACTGCAATAATGATAAGTACTTGTTTGAGAACATTTTTGTAAAAATCCATCTGCCAGCAAATGGCTTTTTGCAAGATGAAGTTCTTCAAAAGTCTCTATTTCTTACTTCCTTATGGAGTTTTGGAATTCAAACATAAATTATTTTTTACACGAACTTTTGGAATTCAAACATAGATATGAGAAGAGATGACCGATTCTATTCGGTTCAATATAATTATCTCTTCTTTTTCTTTTCCTTTTTAATCTTATTTTCTTTAATATTTAATTATCTTCTTACTTAATTAAGAGTTAATAAATTAGATTTAGTTAATTAGCTTAATAATTGTTAAAGTTAAAAAATTCCGCCTAGGTTGTTAAATTTGTTAAAAAAAAAGGCAAAAAAAATCTGAAAATATTATCAATTATTAAAGATGTTTCCCAAAAAATAGAGATAATGGCTAAACAATTGGTTACAAAAATCGGCTTAAAGATTGGTTACCAAAATCCCACAAATTCCTATATCATTTGTTAACCACATCCGAAATAATTGTGGTATCCAATATTGAGGTGATTTAAAACAAAATCCTATACTTATTTTTCGAGTATGAAAATTATAAACAAAACAAAATTCCACAAAATTTGGATGATTTCTTAATTACATTACGTGAATTCTCTAATTATTTTTTATATTGAAATATCATGAATGTGTGGGTCCCTTTGCTTATTACTTAAATAAGTAAGTCAAAACATTATTTTTTAGGTCAACCTTACTAATTTTATATTTTTCCAACAGCCTCTTTATATTACTATAGATATAAAGCAGTTTAGCCACTGTTACTTTTATTATTTTTTATATGAATGGTTGCCTCTTTTTTTGACACGTAGCACTTATAAATGTATATTACCTTATTTGCCCTCAATTATTTACTAAATTGCACATTTGCACTTGATATTTTAATATTTTATTTCGTGTATAAGACCAACTCCAGTGCAGCGCTAGATGTCCACTTTTCGCTGGAGTTGTGCAGATAATTTGCTCCAATGCTGCGCTATTTCTCTGCTTTAGAATAAAGTTATAAACAGTGTATCTCCACATGTGGAGATATACAGCAACTCTACATTTCTTTTTTTTTAATGTATTATAATGTAATATTAATGATAAATTTTTGTATAATGTGTATTAGTGAATATATTTTTTATGCTAAATAATTGTGTAATGTATTTTTTATGCTAAATAATTTTGTGCTTTTTATTTATTGATGTATTATAATTTTATTTTGCAATTTTTTAATATTAAAATGATACTATATGAATAAAAATTTAACACACTCAAACAAGTTTATTTCATTAAAATTAAGTTTACAACACACATAAAATCATAGAACATAAATAAAAACAATATGATTAAAAATGACTTAACACACAAATAAACACAACATGATTAAAGATGACATATATGGTCTAAACCATATATGGTCTAGTGTGTAAATTTGCACTAATTCATATATTTTCAAAAGTAATAGTTTTGATTCAATCGGTACATAGATGTATATGTATCTTCTTTAAGAAATTCACTTTATTACAATTATTTTTTAAATGTGAATATATGCTCTAAACCATATATGGTCTAGTGTGTAAATTTTGCACTAATTCATATATGGTCTAAACCATATATGGTCTAGTGTGTAAATTTGCACTAATTATTTACTATTTGGGTAATAAACATTTATATAATATTATATATTCATATATATAGCAAATTATTCAAAATAAAAATAAATAAAATATATTTTAATTATTTGAGTAATTATCGTTTTATATAAGATTAAATATACATATACCAATTTATTTGAAATAAAAAATGAATAAGAAAATAATATATTTAATGTAGAATAAAATGTAGAGATAAGAGCTGGAGATGAATGTTTAACTCTACTATAGAGTAGAGTAAAGTCCGTGCTAGAGTAGAGATAAGGGCTGGAGATGGCCTAAGCCTTAGCTTTCTCCGAAGCTTCATTTCTCTCCTATTTTTTTGACCCAGCACAGTGTTTGGCCGATTCTTTTTAGTTTTTTTGCCTGCGAGTCTGCGACTGTCTTCTCTCAAATGGGTGCGAAGAGTTAGGGTTTGAGTATGTCTTTTCTCTCAAAATCGCATTCATTAAAAAGAAAAAACTTTCAGTCTGCAATAGTTGACAAGCGATTGATAGTCGTGGATTCACTGCTTGCATTTTGCGCCTGCGTCAAAGTCGGCTACTGCCGACTGCCGTAGAGTTTTGTCGAGGTCGTTTGAATGGGTTGATGAATTTGGAGGAGTGATGGAGACTTTATCCTCTATGCCTGAAAACGAAGTTTTTTTGAAAGGGTTAGTGTTATTTCTTTATATTTTAATTTAAAAAATAATTTGTTCCTCTTTTCATTTTTCCTCTCGGTTTATTTTTTTTATTTTTTTAATTCCAAGATTTCTGGACAGGGATAATTGTGCATTTTAATTTTAGTTTTAGAATAGATTTAAGATGCTTTCATCGGACTATGGCGGAAAATCTCTTGCTTCAAGTAGCATGATCCCCGTAGCATTCAAATTTCATTAAGACGGGGCTATATTTCGTTTGGATTTCTGTTAATGGAACAGCCAATGAGGTGTAGTCATAGATTAATTCTGTTAAATTCGTGATCTTCAATTGTCAATTGTTTATGAGGTTTATGTTTTTTATGTTTACATGGCCGCTGGTAAATATTACATCTCTATACTATTATTGATATTTTCCTTTACCTCTTTACATATCTGTTGTGGAAGTGGTTCTGAGTAAGATTCTGGTTTAGGGATTGATTGCCAGCACTTGGTTTTGACGAATGCGATTTATTATTATGGAGGAGAAAAATAGTTGAGACTCAAAAGCTTATTGTGTTTGCGAAAGAAAATTGAAATTTGATTAAGCCAAAGGAGAGTTCTTGTTTTAATTTCCAACATGTTCTATTTGTATATGAATTCAAACACTACTAGTATTCGACAATGTGTAAATGTAAATAGAATATTATAAGTTATATTTATGCATATAGTATTAAAATTATAAGTTATACAATGATATTATATTTTAAACATAGAGTATTATAAGTTATATTTTATGCATATAATAATAAAAATATAAATTAGATAATAATATTATATTTTAAAATTTGATCATTGGTTAAAATAAATAGTACATAACTATTTGATTGCATATGAACCACTATATTAATTACATAAAATATAATAAATAATGTAATTTTGAGGGATCGCCAATTTATTAGCTTAAAAATATTAAATTTATTGTAACATTTGATTATGCGATTTTAAGGAATTTTACTATAACATTAAAATAAATTAACATATTTAAAAATACAACCGCTAAATAAGATAAAAAGTTATAATATTAATTTTAGAATAATAACTTTAGCAAAAAGTTTACAATATCTTTTTATGTTTATGTAATTTTCATATATCATTTAGTGTAAACTATAGTTATTAGTTTTAATAACAGCTATTATATGATATAATAAAATAATATAAATATTAATCCATTAATATAAAATGTAACGGTTTTTGTCTTAATTAACCATAAAAAAAGTACAATGAAATAGTTTAGCATTAATTAGATATGATGGATTAATAATAATAGTAGAAGATTGTAACATAAAAAGATGTTAAACAATAATTAATATTGTTAAATTTATTGTTGGTAATTAACTATAGAGAGATATAAATGATAAAGTTTTTAACGGTTTTTGGAGGAAAATCGAAATGATTTTTATTAAATGTTTTATTAAATGCTATTAGCCAGCAATTATATANGTTTTGCTGTGTTGCTCAAGTTTTTAGCCATGGACTCTGTCTGAGGACTTCAGGTTCCGAGCATTTGAATTGTGTCTTTTGGAATGATATTTTCTGGGCCTAAACTGATATTGTTTCTTGTTTGGTTATCCGGCTTTTTGTATGCAATCTAACAGGCACACGAATGTTCTGATGCAAGCATCTCACAACAGGGAAACTCGTACTTTCATGGACTACGATTCTATCAGTCAAGCAATGGATGGTATGCATTAAAATAGATATTTTAATTGTCTATACCACTAATACCAGTCACGCTTAATTATTAGCGTTATTGTATCATCAAAAGAGAAATTGTGAAGAATAATACTTGAATGTGATTTTTGAGAAGGGGCTTGCTGACTCAGTGCATTAGTGTGCCTGTTAGATTGACGGGCTTGCTGACTCAGTGCATTAGTGTAAAATCTCTTTCCTCTGTAACACCTCGCTAACTTACTAGTATCATAGTACATTTTTCGCAATTTTATTTCGAAAATACATATAAATTTTTCGAAATCATTTAACTTAATTCGGGATGCTACTAAACTTATCTACTCTGAAATTCTGTTTTTTCTTTAATTTGGTCTAAATACTGGTTTAGACATAAAGAAAACAGACTATATATATTCTAATCAAACTAGCATGTAACTCAACCAGACCTGTCTAGAGATCCGATAAAATCTGAAAACTGACATGCAAGTTTGATACTGAAATTAACGTCAGCGGAAATGTAAAGCGTGGCAAAAATATATATAAACTGAGTATATACAAAAGTCCACAAAACGACTGGTTGAGCCGTATCCACGACCACCACCACAGCAACTCAACTCACGCCTGCGGCCCGACCCGAACATCTGAAAAAAAAAACATAATAGTGGGGCGTGAGCACGAAAGTGCAAAATGCTCCGCAGAAACCCATACTAAAGTAAACAGCAATAATAATAACAATATCATGATCGTCAGTATATATAAACTGAAACTGAAATTGTACTGTAACTCAATCTCCTGGCAATCTGAAAACTCGGCCGGTAACCATGTGCACACTCTAGTGGAATATTAAGGCAACTAGCGGCCACCACCCTAAGCGGATAAACTTAATATATATACATAC